GATGATATCGAAAGGGAAAATAGAACGCAAGAACAGATTTCAGTTTTCTTTTCAGAATAATAATACGATAATGAATAACAACTGTTCAGGGAGTGGGTACATATAGGAAGAACCCACTACTCTTCAACTGCCTAATTACTTAATTAACTGCTCCAATAATAAAATAACATAAATAAAAACCATAATAACTAATAAACTGATAACTGATAAAACCGGGAAATAAATAGCCTAAGCCCGAAGACGGTCATATTTCTGCAGAAACGCCAAAGCGGCCTCGTCTCCATCAACAATTCAAAGAAAAAAGTATCAAGTTGGGGGCAAATCTAAATGACAGGTTAAAGCTTAAAACAACTAAGAAAAAGCAAAACTACAAAATCTTATTCAAGAAATAATAATCAAGCACAAGATTATCTTCACTAATTGAAGAAGATCGAGTAACTAAGATTGACCTAATTAACTGTAAAGGGGTATGAACTTACTACGCTTCCTGGGTAGAATCAAGTCACCATCTTCATCCACTTCACATGCTTTTGTCCTCACTGAATCTGAATTAACTTCAATTTGTTCATCTCCTACAGCATAGAGATACAATGATGTTCATTCAGTACTTTTCAGTTAGATTTAAAAAAAAAAAAAAAAAAAAATTATGTTGAAGTGAAATGGAAAGAAAACCCTGACGAGGTGGTGATGAGATTGTGAAACGGGAGATGTGGGGCCCAGCGTGGTTCGGAGGGCACCCCAGGTGAACCTCGCTCATTACTAGCTCCTCCTCTACGCCTCCGCCGCAGTCCGTCGGACACGACGGCGAGTCACCGTACTCGCATCTCATTTTGACGGCTGACCAGCCTTTTTAGTAAATCTTTATCTTTATATTATGAATCCTGCTCTGTTGAGTATTGAGGATTAAATAGTGAAATCATACCCAAAAAAAAAAATAGTGAAATTATACCCAAAACAATATTGTTATGTGAGATTTAACAACGATACTCACTTAAATTAGATAAATGGAAAGTTGTAAATTAGTTGAATTTCTTATTATTTTTGAGATCGGTTTTTACGTGGACCCGAGCTGTCTTATGAGTGTATTTAATGTGTCGGGAAAAAGATTCTTGTGCAAGAGTAAATACTGCTATTTATAGTAATTCTAGGCTCGTCTTTTGAGATCCATTCAGCGATATTAAATGTGATTTTACGGCCTATGGATAGCTAGCTTGTAGGTGGTTCTCATAAGTAATGATGAAGGTATGGGCGGCTGATAGACAAGCGTCATGTCTGTCTGTTCTTTCGATGATCTAAGTTCTTCTATGAAGTCGGTCCTCGTCCCATTGCATAAGTCGGTCCTTCTCTAGGTTCATACCGAGTTCCACCAAGACGGTCTTCCTTCCCGTTTTTTTAATACTCAATCTGATGACACATTTTATAGACCATCCACAACAACTCAATTGAATTAATTGAATTATATTTTCAAATAAAATTATTTATTTCTTACCCAAATATCA